TAAGAGTCCTAGCATCCAGTTTTATAGGCTGTGCATTAGAAGGGTATGCAGGCACGGGCAAGGATCCAGAGAAAACCAACAGAAATGATTAGAGGAATGGATTCTAACAGCTATCAAGAAAGGTGAAAAGGAGTTGAGGTTTGTCAGTTTCTGAGTCTGAGGTAAAAATATATTGGTCATCTGCCAGCTGTGATCACCTTTGCCCAGCTTCTCTGTTTAAGTGACCACATAGTTATTCAGAGGATTAAAATGCTTTGTTTCCATGTAGTCTGTTTCCTGGAGAAGATTGAGATAGGAAAAGGTTAAATAATTTGCTCAGGTTCCTGTAGCAAGCCATGAGCAAAACTACCATCATAATTTTAAATCCCAGGGCTGTCTGTGAGTGGTTTAATCCACACCACTTCTCTTTATAATGGACGCCCCCAAAAGACTGTAACAATGAAAGATGGAAAAATTCTCTGCAAATTTCCTTGGGGGGGAAAATAAAACAAACTAAAAACGAATGTCATGCCTCACTGCTGAGGCCCATATAAACATCATTCCCTGGTGTCCCCCTGGACTGATGACACAGGACACAGTTCATCTGATAAGCTGTCAGCAGATGGCTGGATCCCTCATTGTACCCATTACCCACTAATGTCAATTTCAAGCAGGAGCAATTATCAGTGCTCCAGACAACAGATGGGGGTGAGGAGGTGTGGCTGGTCTGAAATCAAGTGTCTGTAGGGGGTGAGGGTGACGACCAAAATCCTAGTTCTCAAATCCATCAGGTTCTCTCTAAAACAAATCCATCACAGAGCAAATGGAACACACCAGTGTATTTTCAGTTAGCTCCAAAAGGCATCACAGAAAGCTCAGAACTGTTTTGAATACACGCCATTCCACACTTTGAGCAAGGAAGAAGAAAAAATCAAACAGTGAACTAAAAAGCAGGTAAGCCATATCCAGTGGAAATCAGACTTCTAATATAGTATTGTAAAGAAGACAGAAAATCAAGTAACAATAGCAACTCTAAAAAAGGATGGGGCTCACTCAGCATTACTGGCTAAAATCCATTGGCTTGGGGCTCCAAGGTCAATAGCATCAATTACTATTTGCCAAACGTCCAGCCTGGATCCAGCCTGCCTTGTACACACAGACATCGAGGGTTAAACGTCGTATGTTGCACCGCAGTAAGTTCAGCGCCCAATCAGGGGATGTTGACACAGACACATACAGAACCAACAGGAATCGGACAATTAGACAAGACACCCAAAATGGGATCTTTTTAAGTTCCTCAGACAGAGACAATATAACTGGATGCTAGAGAGATAAAGGGCCACTAATTTAAGACCACCAGTCTTTACAGATACAATCAGCCAAAGTGTCTGACATTTCAACCCTTCTGCTGAGAAACTGTAGATTTTAGGACTTAAATAGCTATGAGAATCTTTTCCTCCTAAAGCCTCGATCCTACTGCGGCAGCTCAGTTTTAAAGCCACCTCTGCCACTAACTTGCTGGGTGATTTTCGGTAAACAGCATCACCATTCAGTAAATTCATTCCCTGTCACCCATACCTGCCAAAATAATATGCACAAGGGGACTATCCATGCTTGAAGAAATATGTATTGGTGTAATTGCTAAACACCACTGATATCAGCAAGGGGCTTGACAATGGTGTGTTAATCTTGGTACTTGCTGATCCTGAGAACCTTCAAGCATCTCCGGCTTGAGCTATGATGTGAGGTGGTGCTGCTGCAATCATACAAGCTTCTATCAGTCCACAGTCCCAGGACCTTTGAGAAATCAGACGAGACCAAAAAGAAAGCCGACAGCCGGAATATTAATCAAGAACAGAACTCAGACGCAAGAACTGCCCTTCCTTATGCTTCTCAAGTTGGCAGTCACCCAAAGGCAGCATGGCTCTGACAAGGGTCTGTGTAACAAAGCTTTGGGAATAAATATTTTACAGACTGAAAAATGGGAGATGGGGAGAGGAAGCAATTTCCCTCCAACTCTTCTATTTCCTGGCCTAGAGCAATACCGTCCTTGTTACAGACAAACTTACACTGACTCTGAGGAACAAGGCCTTTCATATGAAGCCAAAATTGAGTCATCCTGTTGAGAGACACATATCAGAAATGTTTCTGCTAAGCTACCCCTTTCATTTCAGCTAACATCTTCCTTTCCTTATCAGGACCTCTGAACTCCACAGAATTTACTGCCATAATATAGCCTAATTCAGCTAATTCACTTGCCAAAGCATTTATTTGTATTCAACATCTCCCCTTTGGAATATACACAGTCATGGGAAACATTTTAACATCTCTTTCTTCAGACCCATGCTAATCTATCATAGCCCTAAATGAGATAATGCATGTGAAAGTGCCTTATAAACAGTAAAGTGCTAGATAAATGTAAAGTATTATTAACCATATTTATTATCATTAGTCATTGCTGCAACCAAGTCAGAAAATTGTTTCCAACCATCTGTTGTTAAAGTTTTTTGAAGGACTCACATCAAATTTTAGAAATCCATACATTCCTGTTACCCAGGAAGAGACACAGACAGGGTATAGAATGTTAGATTCATCAAAGGCTAGGACCCCTTGTAGGCCAGAGGTTACTATTTAAATGACGCAAAGCAGGGACAGGAGTAAAGGGCAAAAGAGTATAATCCCGGTGGGGCTCAAGAAAATTCCTGAGCATGACTCTGTCCTCTGCCCGTGCCCTATAGCTTCAAAGTTAAGCTAAGCACAGGACAATAGAAAAAGCACAGGTGACAGCAATCAGTCCATAGTCCCGCAAACATCCATCTCTCTGCAGCAGCCAGCCCCAAGTGCCATCATTATCTACACGTGTCCCCAAGGGTGGCGTGGTCAGGTTTATTCTACTGGGGAGACATAGGGAGCAAAAGATGAACAAGGATGAAAAGATGAACAAGGCCACCTAACCTCAGCAAAGAAGAAACTAGCTCCCTTTTTCCGCACAAGGAGGCTAAAAGCATTTCCAGAATATCTCTGTGTTGCATCCCCAGCCACTGCTCATGGAGAAAAGAATCACAGGACATAGACTGTCAAGAGCTAGGAGTGCAACTGTGCCTTGTTTTGCAGATGGGCAAAGTGAGGCCCAGGAAGAATACTTTCCCCAAAGTCACACAACGAATTAATGCCAGAACTAAGTCTCCAGAGTCTTCTAAAAGCCTCTAAAAACCTTTCCACTAAAAAGCATGGTGCTGCCAGATTTGACATCATCACATGAGCAGCAGCCCCAGTCAAGATGAATTTAGTCTTTTGTTGACCTTCTAGATATGTGGTTGCCAGAGGCCTCAAGACCCCTTTGTACAAGAGGCACCCTCTGACCCTTACCACCTGCCATCCAAAAAAAGCACTCCTGTCCCAAGAGCCTCACACAGCAGTGGCTGAGATGCGTTGTTTCCTCTCATCAACAAAAAGCCCATTCATAAAAAAGAAAGAAAGAGGACTGGCTCAAATTTACACAGAAGGTCTAGCCGGGAGAGCCCTGGCCTTCCTGTGAATGGCATCACTTCCCAAGAAGCCCTCTCTTAAAAAAACGCTGCCCACTCCAGCCTTGCTCGATGCTTACAGCCACTCAATCAGTAACAGCCTCATTATTCCAAAGCTATCCACGCCTCCTTGCCACATCTGCAAGATGGGAAGGGGCTTGAGGGCATTCACCACATTTTACAGATTGGGAAACTGAGGCCAGGAACCTGCAATCAAAGGAGTTCCTAGAACATAGAGCTAGCAAGCATCCGAGCCACAAGTAGGCAGCACCACGCTAATCAGCCTCGGCCTCCTCACAGCCTGCACTGCCATTCCACTGACAGCTTGCAACCTCCAAGAGGGTGGGTGAGTTTCCCAACCCAGATGCTAATTAATCTTTTGGCTGCAAGCAAGCAATCTCCCTTCCCTGGGCTATAACATGGAGATAATAATCTCAACCTTCTGCCCCACACAGAGTTGTCACAAGTCTCCTGAGAATAACCTTCTACAAATATAAAAGCAATAAAGATGCTAATGATAGGTTTCAAAACTGTCCCTGAATAAAACACACCAGGTTTTCCACAGCCTGAAATCTAAAAAAGATTTTTCCCTTTCTCCTCTTCCTCCTTCTCCATGATTTGTAGTTTTAGAACATCTCTCCACACAGGCTGAGTACAGAAAGACAGTCTCACTCTTGGTCCTCACCTAGATTATTTTTATGTATCTGGCAACTTTCCTTTTCAATCCTATTTGTGTTTCTTAGTGCCACTAATGGGAGGTAAAGAAATTAGCTCTCCGAGCACCCCTGGACCATGACCACAGAAGATAGAATAAGAGTGATAAGATAGAGAGGTTTGCAAAAAGTAAATACCCTCTCACCGTGGATAGAAATCATCAGCCCAAAGTTCATGAGTCAGCCTGGGGCCTGTTTCAGAGCGCACTTAGTAGGAGCTTGGTGCTGCTCCAACGCCTCAGAATTCAAAGGCAGACCTCACCATAAGAGCATGAACTCCCAAATGAAAGAGTCATTAAGAGAAACCCACAAAAGTATTTCCCCAAAGCACCACAGTGGAGACAAGGAACTTTATGTGACTATCTCCAGGAAAGAGTGTCACCAGGCCTCTGGGAAATTAACTGCAGCAGAGGGCACGGGGGCTGGGCTATGGGCCCCAGACGTGATTCAGAAAGGGCACCTGGTTGGGTTGGACTTCCTGCTTGCGAAAGGCCAGGCCAGGCCAAGGCCAGGGCTGGGAGGGGAGAGATAGCCGGCTTGAGTGCCAGTCGTTCCTAGGGCTCCAGCACAATATTCCTCACCTCCACTGTGGGGCTGACGCATTGTGCAAAGGTGAAAGAGAGCCAAATCTGAAATCCACACAAAACCAGCCATTCGTTGGAAAATCATTTTTAAGGGTCCCACTTCCCGCAGGGATGAGGTGCTCCACACTGCCAAGTGTCCTGAGCACACAAATGACTCTTAGCACTGAGGCTGCCCAGGAAAAAGCCAACAGACTCACATGCATCATGGTGACCAGGTGACAGGGGTTGAGCAGGTAGATGACGGTCTTGGTGGCGAACTTAAAGCCCACCTCCACCCCGAAGGTCAGGCACAGGGCTACTAAGAGCAGATTCTTGCTCAGGCTCTCCTTGCCTTCCTCTGGCCGCTGGGTCACCTGCTCTGGCTGGCAGCCACGGCCACCCCTACCGTCCTCCTTCGTCTGCCTCAGGATGTGCCGCAGGGCCACCAGGATCTCCAACAGAGCCAGGGTGAGGACCACCACACTTTCCAGCAGCCGCTGCTGCCAAGAAAGGAAGGCAGCACAGTCGGGGCCCCCATTGCCTGCAAAGCTGGGGTCCACGCCCCCATAGAGCCAGTCCAGGAGACTTTGGTAGCTATACCGGGACATGATGCAAAGTGGTTCCCCTCGACCACCGTGCAGGAAGCAAGAGCGAGATGGCACACAAACCCAGAGGGTTGGCCGGGTGGTGGGACATGTACGGAGGGCACACCCCCGCACCCGCACCCCCCTCCAGACACCGGGCACCTAGAGCAGGGGAGGGGAAGCTACACGCGAGGCCCGGGGTAAAGTGCTGGCTCTAACTTGTCCCCACGGCTGTCTGGGGAGCCCCCCGCGCTTCTCCAGTGGCCACCAACGAGGCAGGGTTGAAACGAGCCGTTGGCCAATCTAAAAGGAAGGAGAGGAAAAAAAAAGTCTCAAAGAGGCAATTGCATCGGGAATTACGAAGCGGGGAGGGGTAACTAGCGAGGGAAGAAAAGGGGAACAGGGGCAGTGGCGAAGCAAGCAAGGGTCAGGGGAAGCCGGAGGCCGGGAGGGTCAGGGCGAGGGCCGAGGGGACCCGGCAGTGCCGCGGGAGCGAACCAGGGCGAGCAGGGTGAGAGCGAGGGGACACGCGGAGGCCAGGAGAGGAGCTAGCGGGGCCGGGCAGGCGGGAGGGCGACGGGGATGACCGGGACGCCGGACTCCTGGTCTCACGCACTCGCCACAGGGGATCTCTTACTCCTGCAACCGCGTGGCCTTCTGTGCCCCCAGCTAGTAACTTCGCCGCCGACGGGCCCCTCCAGCCAATTTAGAGCCGTCCCGGTCCAGCCTCCCGCCCCCGGGTACACCCCCGAGCCCCCAGCTCCACCCCCGGGCCCCAGACGCCCGCCCTCCGGGCAGCACCTCCCCCAGCCCGCGGCCCGCCCGGGACCTGCCCCCCTCGCGCAGGCAGTGGAGGGAGGAAGCCGGGAGGGAGGGAGAGAGGGCGGGAGGCCGGGCCAGCCAGGGGCTGGGCTACAGCCCGCCCCCTCCCTCCGCCCCGGCACCGCATCTTCCCGCGCCTCCCGCCCGGCCCCGGGCACCGGCCGCCGCGCCCCTCGGGGCTCCACTCACCGGCAGCTCGGCCCGCGGCCCCGGCTCGGCGACCGCTCGGCTCCCGCACTCCCCGCGCCCCGGCGCTCGGCTCCCTCGGCGGCCGCAGCAGCCGCCGCGGCGCACGGCTCCTCCTCCCGGTCTTCCTCCCCCTGCAGCAGCCGCGCTCGCTTCCTCCTTCTTCCACTCCCTCTCTCCTCCCCCTCGCCGCCGCCACCTCCCTCCGCCGGTCCTGCTCAGCCTCTTGCCCCCCACGCCCTCGGGCCACGGCCACCCCGCCTCGCCTGCTTCCCTCTTCTGCCTCGCCCACTGCCCCCACCGCTTCCACCATTCACACCTCCCACCCTCCCTCTTGTCGGCTCTCCCTCCCCACTCCCTCCTCGGGGCTCAGTCTCCGCCTCCTTACCCTCCTCCCTGGCCTGCCTCGTATTCTGCACTCTCGGAGCCTGCACGCGTGCACATCCACCTTCCTTGACAACCGTGTACAGAATTCGCCCCCTCGGTGAGGCCTTTTTGATTGACTCCACCTCCTGCGACCAGGTTCTCTAAGGCACTTCGTTGTACACCGGGCACATAGTAGGCACTTAGCCGGCCCTCGCTAAGTTCTTGGGGATTGAATAAGCCTGTCTAGTGACAAGCAGTCGCGCAAGCTTTGCTTTGGAGTGCTTGCTGGGAATGACCTTCTCTTCTTCGCGTTTCCTCTTTTCTGCCCTAAAACAGTAGACTCGTGCAGGACCAGGAAGGCATCTTCCCTCACCTTTCTAGCTACAGTCCCACTCCCCACTTCAGTGCCCTGGACGGAGGCTTCTTTTCCCCTTCCCCGCTCTTCTCCATCCTGCTCTGCTCTAGTATTTTTCTCTCTTTAGCCTACGCCACACAGCCCACCCCGGCCACTCCTCCCGTTTCTCCCGCCACGCCATCAATCATAGACTAGCTGGAGAAAAAGAAGCTGACCCTGACCTGTCGCCCTCCTCCCCCTCTGCAAGGGAGCAGCTGCTTTCCAAACTGCACGTGGCCAAGAGTCTTGCCGCTGAAAGGCCGGCCAGGACAATGTGGGTGTGGAGGGGGCCCAAGAATTGGATAAGGGCGGCTGATTGAAACAGGGTCCCCTCTTCCCTGCTGTTTTCTACCCATAGACTGTGGTTTGCTTTTCTTGGGACAAGGAAACAGGAAAAGGACCTTCTGCAAATCTACCTCATGTTGGTTTAGTATTTGTTGAAGACTCACAATGAATTAGGAGAATATCCAGAAAAACAGTTAGGCACTTTGCCTAGGAAACACTTTAGGGTGTTGGCTACAAGCCAGACTCAAAACATAAAATACAGTCTACTGTGTTATCAGGCCATTGTCCTCCCATCCTTTCCAAGTCTGGTTTTCCTGACAAGTATAGCCTTAGAGCCAGGTAGCCTTGTCTAATTCCAAACTTTTTACAGCATCTACCATAGGCCTGATGCTCTTCAAGTGCTGATTAATAAAGAACAACAAACAAGAATTGATTCAGAGGCTCACTTGTTCATACTCCTTAGGTGTTTTGTTAAATCCTGTGCAGCATAACCAAGGAACATTCAAGATAAAGCTGTGGAGTTCCTGGCAATGACACGCAGCATCTGGAGACCTATCTTCAAGGAAGTAAGAATGAGGTTATAGCCCTCAGTAAATGGCTTCATTAATCCCTCCAATTTGCATGCTGAACTTCAGTTGGGAATTGGGCCTAGAGGGTCCTTGTATTTGCAAAATGACCATCTTTAATGACTGTAGCCAGGCCAGCTTCCTCACCAGAGCCACCAATTCCTCTTTTTCATAGACAGAATAGCCAAGTGTTTTAAGGGCCTGCATTCTAATTCCATTTATGCCATTTACTTGCTCTGTCACCTTGGGCAATTTACTCAATCTGTCTGTGCCTCAATTTCCAACTATTACTTGAAGGGTTATCAATGATCTATTATCTAATTCCTAGGATTATGCACATTTAAATGAGTTGAATGATGTAGGACAATGTAGTATCTGGTGCACAGAAAGTGCTCAATAAATGCTACCCATTATTGTTACCCAGTTCTGCATCTGTGCATGCATGCTCACACATGTGCAGACACACTCAAATTCAGTGCCCTCTCCCACATCTGCATAAACAATCCTACCCATCCTTCAGAGCCCACATGAAATTGCACTCTCCCCAACCCCACCCCCAGCTCCCAGGGCTCTCTCCCTCCTCTGAATTTCTACAGCAGTTATCCCCTGCACTACTCATTTTCTTCTGAATCACATACTGCCTTCCCTTGTTCTCTCATTGTTAGTCTCCCACATTCGGATCTTTGACAGCAGGGGATGGGTCTTAATCTTTTCTAAACCCCCCCAAAGCACCTAGCAGAGTGGTAAACATGGTAGGCACTAGATAAACACTAGGAGATTGTTGTCCCAATAGGTAAAAGGCAAGCAATAATTGAGCTGAAATGGCATGTCAAATTTTAGAAACTCAAAAAGCTTCAAATGTCCTGATCATTTCCTTGCTGGGACACAGGCCAGAGGCTTCCTGTCTCCAAACAGTAACAAGAGCAAATGAACTTTGCGTTTTAAGTAAAGCCTCACAGCGCACAGTGAAAAGGAAACCTGGAATTCATGCTCTGTTCAGTGAGACCTTGGGGAAAATCATCTCTCCATGCTTCAGTGTACTCAGGTAAAATGAGAGAGTTGGACTAGAATGGTTTCTAAGATACCTGCTGGCTCTAATATTCTATGATTCTAGGAACTCGGCATTTTCATCCAAGTCATGTTTGATTCTTAAAGCAGAAAGCTGATCCACCTGACTTGGTGATATGAGCCGCTTCTCTGCCTATTGAGACAATACTCTAAATTCTTTTGTCCAAAGTACCTTCCCAGCCGTGAGCTCAGCTGACCTCTTATGGAGTGCAAGAGTCAGAAATTATCACCTCAGTCGTATCATGGACAAACGGAGGCTCAGAAAGGTGAAGTGACTTTCCTAAGATCACACAAGTTAGTGTATTAGGGCAGAGTGAGGACTAGAACTTGAGGTTCAACAGCATGGGCCAGAGCAAGGTCTTTCTCTTTGACCTGTCCATATGACCTTTTCTCCTCCTGCACTTTATATTCTTTGAATCCACTCCTGTCCCTCTACCCACAATCTAACCTGCAAGTCAAATGCACGCGTGATCCCCCACAAGCAAAAACAATGCACAATCTCAATATTATATGAAGTGTTATCAGTAAAAATAAACTGAATGTGTGTGAAGGAGAATGAAGAGAGAAGCCTTGGTATCGATCTGTCTGCTTACTGCTTCTTTTTTTTCTGCTCATTCATTCAACACCAGCATTCATTCCACAAATATTTACTGAGCCTCTGTTATGTGCATAGGAGTATGCTAGACATGTGGGCGATCTCTGCCTTCAAGGAGCTTAAAATCCAGCAAGGGAGACACGACTTACAAACAAGGAAGGTTAGACAACAATACCTGAGGGAGGTATAAATAGAAGCCAAGCAAGGAAGAGCTGCTGCCACAAGAGGAAATCTTGCGTGTATCAAGGGAGCTGCAAGGAGGGCAAGAAGAATTCAGGGGTGTTCAACACCAGACAAACTCATCTCTGGGGAGAAAGGTCAGCATGGCAGTGAAGGGGAGCAGAATTTGCCCACCCCAAAATATGACTCTTTGGCATAAGCATTATTTTAGGCCGATTATTTTTTAAAAAACAGCAGACACAGGAGAAGCTCTGAAAACCGAGTAGGAATTACCCTTTTGCAAAAGACATTTACATTTATAAGGGAAATCTCTGTTTCTAAGGGTGTCTCCCTCTCTGTACCGCACCAGGAAGAGAAGGATGACTAAATCTCTACAAACTCTTATCAATGAAGAAGGCACAGACTTAGATCTTCTGCATAACAACTGTACTGTGCTCTTTTACTGTGCTTTTCCTGATAGCGTCGCATAACTGCCCCCCCCCAACATCTTCTTTTATCTTGAGCTGGAGATGGTATTTAAGGTGGTGGCCTGGACCATTTTGTGGAGTTATTCAGTTTTCCTGGGTCTCTCCAGTGTATACAGGAGGTATACATGGTATTTAACTTCTGTTTGTTTTTCTCCTGTTAATCTTTTATTACAGGGGGGTCTCAGCCAAGAACCTAGAAGGGTAGAGGGAAAAGTATTTTTCCTCCCCCACAGCAGTTACCCTTGGCCAGTATTCACAGGGAAGGAGGAGGAAGCCTTCTGGAGTTCTGACAAGGCTCTGTATCTTGATCTGGGTGGTGTTACACGGGTGTACACATATGTAAACATTTATAGAGCTGCACACTTTAGCGTTTTACACTTTAGCATGTATCAGTTGTACCTCAATTTTTTAAAAAGCTCAAAAAGGGAAAACACCTGGAGCTGGAATTTCCAGGAACATCTTCATGGAAGAAGAGGTAGTGTTTGACTGGAGTTGTGAATGAATCTAGCCCAGTGGTTGTCAGCTCTGGCTACACTTTAGAATCAGCTGGGGAGCATTTAAAAAATACTGATTCTTGGGGCCCTCTCCAGACCAACACATTCAGAAGCTCCAGAAGCAGGGCCTTAGTATAAGTATTTTTTTAACTAAGATTGAGAAGTACTATGGGTCTGGTCACTACAGAAAGAAAATCTAACTAAGGCTCATCAACTACCATTAAGTGGCTGAGTGCTCATGCATATAGCATCTCATTTAAGCCTCATGACAAACAACCCTATGAGGTAAGTACTATTGTTGTGATCCTCATTTTACAGATAAGAAAATAGAGGCTCAAGTCATACTGCCTGTAAGTGTCAAAGCTGGGAATTCATCCTAGATCTGTTAACTCCAAAGCCAGCAACTGAACCTATGTAAAATATTGCCTATCAGTAGATCGTGTCACTAGGGAAGCACAGGCCAAACCTCTTTATAGATGACCTGGCTGTCCATGAAGAGATCACTGCTGTTTAAATGTCCTCTCTTTTTTATTGAGGGTTAACTTACATACACTAAGATGCATTTTTACTTTTAGGTACAGCTCCATGAGTTTGTATACAGCCCTGTGATCACCACCCAGATTTTTGTGCCGCCCCCAGTCAATCCCCACCCCCAGGGGCAGCCATTGTTCTGATTTCTATTGTCACAAATTAGTTTTGCCTACTCTTGAATGCCAC